CCAAGGAGAAAAGATGAGATTTGATAAAAACATGAGTTAATGAAAAACAGTCAAAACAAACATATTTAACCATTTATATTTATGTTATTTTTGTGTAAAATCGGTTCTCCTTGTTGTGATGACGAGTTTGTCGTATTCTTACTGAAATAACACCAATATTAAAGCTGACTGAAAAAAAAATTCGAAAATTGCAGAATGTTCAACGACATTTGGTTTAAAGGGTAAAATAAAGTTTATAGAGTTGAAAGAGTTTCCCCTTTTCCAATTCATGACTTAAACCAATTAAGTCTACATGCAGAAATTGCTGTATTTTACAAGATACAGTCTGTCTCTTACCAAATTTACTTATTTGAGATTCTTCACAGAATCTTTCCGATTAAATGGATTGTCCAATCGCGCTGTAGAATGATTTTCTCTTGATAATATAACAACCAGAGTGCTTCATTGTTGAGAAATTCAAAATATTTTTCTGAGAAGGTTTGGATGCGGAAGTATCAATGACAGATTTCTGTAAAAATGTGTCAATATCAACAGTTTGGAAGTTTACACCTCTGTTTTCAGACAGTATTTCTGTGGTCCTTTAACGAAGAATTCAACTTAGTCATTTCATAAGGTTAGAAAATAATTAACAACTCCGTGACCTTATTGCCACGACCTCTGGAATTACGATAATTTTAGTTGTGGTTGGATGTTAGATAAATGACAAAATAGAGATTAAGGACACAATGTGACCACCAAGCATTTTGAACTCTTAGATTTCAAAGGAGTGAGAATTCGGTAACATCCTTCCTTGAAAGCCCATTTTCTGTCCATATTTGATCTGAAGCTTTAAACTTGTGTTTTAGATGTTCTCGCTAGATCTAAACTAAAAGATCGACGCACCGATTAAGGCGAAGAGGGAAACGTTTAAATTAAATTTCACTCAGACCAAGTCGGGTNGGGTAAAATAAAGTTTATAGAGTTGAAAGAGTCTCCTCTTTTCCAATTCATGACTTAAACCAATTAAGTCTACATGCAGAAATTGCTGTATTTTACAAGATACAGTCTGTCTCTTACCAATTTGCTTTCCATGGACAGTTTTTCAGCCACAACATTGGATGTGATTAGTACAATAATAAGCAGAGAGACAAAAATCTTCACAACGAAGGCTTCCATCTCATTTGTTAGCGATGTAAAAAGTAAATTTGTGGACTGACAAGTCTCTAACAGACCACCAAGACAGAGTGAGACAAATGTACCATGTAAAAATTTACTTATTTGAGATCCTTCACAGAATCTTTCCGATTAAATGGATTGTCCAATCGCGCTGTAGAATGATTTTCTCTTGATAATATAACAACCAGAGTGCTTCATTGTTGAGAAATTCAAAATATTTTTCTGAGAAGGTTTGGATGCGGAAGTATCAATGACAGATTTCTGTAAAAATGTGTCAATATCAACAGTTTGGAAGTTTACACCTCTGTTTTCAGACAGTATTTCTGTGGTCCTTTAACGAAGAATTCAACTTAGTCATTTCATAAGGTTAGAAAATAATTAACAACTCCGTGACCTTATTGCCACGACCTCTGGAATTACGATAATTTTAGTTGTGGTTGGATGTTAGATAAATGACAAAATAGAGATTAAGGACACAATGTGACCACCAAGCATTTTGAACTCTTAGATTTCAAAGGAGTGAGAATTCGGTAACATCCTTCCTTGAAAGCCCATTTTCTGTCCATATTTGATCTGAAGCTTTAAACTTGTGTTTTAGATGTTCTCGCTAGATCTAAACTAAAAGATCGACGCACCGATTAAGGCGAAGAGGGAAACGTTTAAATTAAATTTCACTCAGACCAAGTCGGGT